TATATATATATGTCACAAACCCTAAAACAATCAATGCAATAACAATGAAATACAGCTAATGGACTAATGGACTAGTAAGACATACTGAAATCATAAAATAAATACTCCTTTAAATGAAGGAAAGTCAGATAAGAACCAAAAAAAGAGACAACACATGAAATTATGCAACAGAATGACAGCTTTTACCCTGACCGTATATACCAGTGATCACAAATAATGTAAATGCTATAGATAGCCCAATTAAAACAGAAAGACTAAAAAGTGTAATCCCAGTATACACTGCTTACAAGAAGCACACTTTTAATATACATATGTAAATAATTTAAAAAGAAAAAAATTAACACTGACAACAGCCAAAAGAAAGAGTAGTTACATTAGCATCACACAAAATGCCTTTTACACAGAGAATATCACAGTGAAAAAGGAGACAAACTTACAAAGATATCATAATCCTAAATGTCTATGTATTAAATAACACAGCTTCAAGCTACACAGAGTAAAAAAATCAATGAAACTACAAGAAACAGATAAAAGTCAGAGTAAGAGTAACTAGGCCCACACAGACATCATCAATGAGTTTTTACAAAGGTCAACAGGGAAAGAATGGTCTTTGCAAAAAGTAATGCTAGAATAAATAGATACTGGGAAAAAATGAACTTTAACTCTTACCTCATACCAAACAAAAATTAATACAAAATGGATTAAACCTAATGTTAAGAGCTACACCGTAAAACTTCCTGAAAAGAAAAAGAAAAAAAACTGTGTGATCTTTGGTTAGCAATATTTCTAAGGTCTCAAAATACAGAAACCATAAAAGAAAGTAACTGATAAAGTTTACCAAAATGAAAACTCCACTCCCCAAGTCACACTGTTAAGGAGGGAAGAAAGACAAGCACAGAAGGGAAGAGACCACGGATGAGACCAACACCCAGCTGTCTCACCAACAACCCCAGAAACGTTATTCATAATGGAAAAACATTGAAAACAACCTAAATAATTATCAACTGATACACAGGTCAACAGAATGAAGTGCTTATTTGCTACAACATAGGTGAACTGTGGACATACTGTGCTTAAGGGAAAAGTCAGCCAAAAGCCCACAGATCACACGGTCATATTACTCCAAAATCAGTGGAGACATTTCTAAAGTACATTAGTAGCTGCCTAGGTTGGGAACTGAGGTAACGCGAATAGCAACATTTCTTTGGGAGCTGATAGAAGGAAGTATTTCAAAATCCCTTGCAGAATGTAGTACAAGTCCATGAATATCCACCAACATGTGATCTGAATGCAGTAAGCTGTATGGTATGTGTAACATACATCATACTGGTAAACTGTCACATGCTATTTGAGCTCACTGAGAAGCTGGCCCTGCAAGTGGGGTTGTCCCACCATTTCATACCCAAGCATGTTTGTCTCAAGGTATCTTCCAAGGTCCCTTCTCCAGAGGTGGGCTGCCCTCCCCAACTCTGTGGCAGGGAGGGGAGAGAAGAGCAAAACAGCAAAACACTGTCTTTGAAAACAGTTAAACAGGTAAACCATTTCCAACATTGCTTATTCTATGCCAAAAAAGTATCTGCAGTGGGAAAGAGAAGCTGGAAGTTCAGTCATGGGAAGCTTGGCCATGGGAGCTCAAGTCATGGAGAGGATGGCGAGGTCCCTCCTCCTGGGACCTCTCACAGGAACTCCAGCTGCTTGTTCCAGCTGCCCAGTTGGACTCTGCTGAAAGGTGAGCATCTGATTTGATGTGTACTCTTCTGTTGCCATGTGACCTGTACTTGGACGCCTCACTTGAAGGGACACTCTGCTCTGCCTAGGCCTCTCCACTGGGAACTCCGGGTGCCTGGTTCAATGGGACTTCTGCAATCCACTTCTGCTGGAGTCTGTCAGGCCCTGATGATGCTGTCACCTCTGCTTGCTCCCTCAGGCAGGCTACTCCGGGTGTCTGCTGGGCGCGGTGGGCTGTGATTTGATGCTCTGCTGTCTGTCCGCAGCGTCTCTCTATCTGCCACTCACCATTTGTTCTTTTACTTTTGTTAACTACAAACTCACTCATCAGAAACTGAAAGCACGGCTATCATAGATCACTCTGGGCAGTAAATAATAATACATAGAGAAAATCTCCATAAAATTTTTATACTTTAAAAAGCATAAGATTCTAATATACTTGTTTGGTTTTTATAAGAACACAAGGAAATTCTCTGCCTCACAAGTCTTCAGGAAATAGACTGTGATGCTCCTGACTGACGCCACCTGGATAGTGTGAGCAAGGCAGGCATGGAGACATCATGGAACTCTTCCTATGGTCCAGTAAGAAGGGAAAGCCTGGATGCTCCCCAAAGTCACGACCTAAAACTAATGATGATAAAATATGAGGCAAACCTACTTTGGGAGACATTCTACAAAATATCTCATCATTGGTCTTCAAAAACTGTCAAGGTCCTGTAAGACAAAGGCAGACCAAGACATCAGCACAGAGTAGAGGAGACTAGACACACAACCATGTGACCTGCCACCCTGGATGGGAGAAGGAAGAAAGCGTCCATCAGTAGGAAGCATGGAACCTGTGGCTTAGTAAACCACACTGGACCAAGGCCAGTGTTAGGTGTCTTGGCTTTTCTGCTTGTCACAGGAAATGCACATACTCATGTCTGACATCAATGTCAGAGCAGGGTTTCTTACCCTCAGCACTCCTACATTTTGGAGTAGGTAACTCTTTTGCTGTGGGACTGTCATGTGCATTGTAGGGTATTTAGTAGCAACCCTGGGTCCCCAGGGAGCAGAATCTCTCCTGGTTGACACTCACTATAGTAGAACTTGGGCCAAAGCCACAAAGAATTCTTTACGCGTGCTGGTGACTTTTCTCATGGCTGTGATGAACACCTGAGAAAGGCAACTTCAGGATGGAAGGGTTACTTCTGCTCACAGTCTGAAGGAACGCTGTCATGGTGGGAGGTCCTGGCAGGAGGAGCTGAGACTGGTCACACTGCATCTGCAGTCAGGAAGCAGAGCCAGAACACTGGTGCTCAGCTCGCTGTCTCCTTTTCATTCAGTCCAGGACTACAGCCCTGGGATAGTATCACCCACACTCAGGGTGGGTCTTCCCACCTCAGCTAATCCATTTAGAAATTCCCTCTCAGACAGGCCCAGAGATTTGTCTCCTAGGGGATTCTAGATCCTGTTGGGTTGAGAGTCAGCATCAGCCATCGTACGATACTACATTTGCAGCTCTTCTGTAAACCTAAAACCACTGAAAACAAGAAGCTAAAAGACAAAACACAGTGACTGAAAAAGAAGGAGCTACAAGGACACCACAGCCACTAGAGCTAACACTACAACACCAAGTGTTGACAAGGACTTGGAGCAAAGGAAATCACAGACACTGTTGGTAGGAATGTGCAGGCAA